GGGTTTCCTTGTGTGGTTTCCTTGGTAGCTTCCCCCCTCCCTTCTGTCCCTCCTTCACATAAAATTCCTGTGAATGGAAGAGTTGATGCCCCCAGAATCTCTGGTTCTCTCTTCTCTTTGGTGTTTTCTGGCTCTGCCACCTTGAGTGGGGCGCCATCGGGGAAGCCTTTCATGTTACGTACTTCAGTGCCTCCGTGCGCGCCTATGACAGCGGCGCTCCCTTGGATTGTGCGTTGTCGCTGTTGCCGCCTCTGCTGCTGCTTCTCCAGGGTTTTGTGCTTGTGCGGCTTCCTGGCAGAAGCTCCACAGCATCCGGCCAGTGGTGTGTGTGTGCAGGACGCAGGCACCGCCCTCCACCGGGTGCTTCCCAGGGCCCTTGGGGCCCGACTTGGGGAGGGCCGCACACAGGCACATGTGAAAGCCAGTTCAGACCCCGAGGGAGCCACAGGGATGGATGGACTTCCTGCCAAGCCTGTGCTTCTGCCCCCGCCCCACAGAGGTGTGGCCCCCCCATCCCCAGGGGCGGGGGGCGCAGGCACGGCGGGTGTTCTCATGGGCTGCAGCAGCCCTGAGGCCTGTCACTCCTGCCTTGGGCAGCAGGGACTGTCTCTCCGGGAGGGGCAGGGCCATCACCCAGGTGCACCAGGAGGACCCCCGGCCCAGCCCCCTGCTGCCCAAGACAGTGAGGTCCCACTCAGCCAGGCCCTCTGGGCTGGCTTCCTGCCCTGCATCTGCTCTCCATCTTCTAAGATGTTGTCTCCTGCTGGTCTTCGTGGCCTCCCCGCGCTCCACAGTAGATGCGGTGGGGAGCCAGGACGAACATGTGTTCAGGGCTGAGCATGTGTATCCCACCCGCCACAGCCACGGGGAAGCCCTGAAAAAATGTTCACTTCTGTTGACACTGACAAGAGCTTTTCTGGGGGCTGCGATCTAGGGCTATGGAGAAATGGCATTTCCTATACCCCCACCTCCTTGAAGTGCACATGGAACTCAGTGGACAAAAAGTCCCCCCTGCACCGAGCTTGGAGTCTACTGGAGAAATAACGGCCACTCGAAGAAGCTTTTGAAAATTATCTGTCATGTAAAACAGACACTGTCACGTACACTGAGGACACGTGACAGGAGCCTAGATGTTTCCCAGAGAAGTGATTTCAAAACTGAGGTATCTAGGAGTCTGTTGGGAAGCACAAGGGGCTGTTCCAGATATGTGCAAAGGCCCTGAGGAGAGTGGTGCCTCTGGAATAGAGGCAGCGCAGGTGCAGCTGGAGAGGTGGCGGGCCTGGGCTCAGCAGAGGCCTGATGGCCACAGGGGAGGGTCTTAATTCAGACCGCGTTTTCCCTTCAGAGCTTAGAATTCTGTCCAGAGGACTCAGGCCCTCACACAGGACTGGAACCCAACCCTCAGCTCCCTGCAGCCTGGTACGAAGGGAACTGACACAGAGGCACGTGTGCTTGGAGTGGAACAAAGCACAGCTGGGCCCTGACGGCCACTGCGACCACATGCGGAGCCCCACAGAGGCTCTCTGCCGGGACAGTGGTCGTCCACCCGCCTGCCTCTCACCCGATCTCCCCACCCCTCTGGGAGAAAACCTTCTCCAAATCTCAGCCTGTGAGCTGGCTCTCCAGAGCTCTGTGGCCGTGACCCCTCCTGTATCCTGCCACTGCACGCTCTCCTGCAAGCCTTTACGTAAGGAGGGTTTATTTTTGTTCCGTGTCCTTCCCACGGGCTTTCCCGCTGCCTTCTGTGACTCCGGAAAGAGCCACGCGTTGGGCATAGGTAGGGAGGTGGGAGGGTGGAAGTCAGAACCGTCCCGTGGCAGTCCACCCGGGGACGTGGCTGGAGGGAGCCAGCCAGCCTGTGTGGGGCTACACGCCAGGTCAGAGAGCAGGCATGTGGCCCCTGGTCCTTAACGCCCGTCTCTGGCCTGCACCACCCCTTCCACTCTCCATGCCTGGGCTCTGGGCGGCCACGTCCCCTCTCCGGCACCCACTTGTTCATTGGCCTCCCTTGTCCCTCCCCAAGGACTCTCGGAAAGCCTCGCCCGGGGCTGTCCAGGGGAAGAGGGGCAGGGTGGCCCAGAGAGGGAAGACCATGGCGGGAGGTTATGGTCCCTTAGCCTGTATCGCCGGAGGGTGGGTCGGGGCTGCAGTGGAGTCTGGGCTGGGTGCACCCTCCATCAGGGTGTGGGTCTCATCCGGGCCTGAGGGGAGGGGGCCCAGGCATGAGGTCTTCATCCCACGTGTCTGGTGCTCTCCCAGACGTGCACACGGCAGGTGGGGCCTGGGGCGGGTGGGCCAGGAGCTCTCTGCAGACCCAACAAGGCTGCTTGTGTGCCGAGCAGCCCCGCCAGACCGCCTCGGTGGGTGGCTGCGGTGGGGTGCCTCCAGCTGGGTGCAGGGTGGAGCTGCCGTGGACCGCAGGGGTCTCTGCCCTTGGCCAGCGGAGGTGCGTCCCGTGAATGTCCACGTGTGCGGGCCACCTAACCCCACCCACGGGAAGCCTCAGCTCACTCTGGGGAGAGGCTGCATCAGAGCCATGGCATTTCCAAGGCAAAAGGCACATCTTTTATTTATTTAATCCAAACCATCGTGTGAATTATTCATTCACGTTTATATAAGCAATTGAATGGCAGAATAAGGGGGAGGTCAGAGCACCGACTTGGCTGTGCCCTAAACCGCAATGAGAGCTCACAGTGTCCTTACCACCCCCGAACGCGCAACTCTAGGGTGATTCCACCCTGCAGCCGACCTGCACCAGGTGGGCTGGGGTCAGAGCCCTCCTTACTTCTGACAGTCCATGTGACCTCGAGGAAGTCACCCCCATCCCAGCCTCTCCTACCTTGCCTGTCAGAGGGTGACACGAGACCCACCTCGTGGGGTGCAGGCCGCACTGGGGAAGGTAAGGTGTGGGAGGAACCCGGCGTGGGGGTCCCGGCTCCTGGCCCGCAGCAGGTGTGCAGAGCTCCCGCCCAGGGGTGTGCGGCCTGCAGGGTCCATGAACAGTGTACCAGGCAGCATTCTGATATCTGTGGGCAAAGGGGATATTACCTTGTCCAAGGTCAGGCTTCGTTATTACCAAAATTTAATTTGCCCCAACGGACGTCTGAGATCCATTAAAGGCAGCACGGTCTCTGACAGAAGTGAAATATCGCGGAAACGTGGTCAGTGAATTTTTCCTTTTAGAATGGGTTTTCCTCCGGCTTGGCAGATCCATCCTCAGTGGGCTGACCGGGAGACTCAGGGAGGAGCATGGGGTCAGAGCCGCCAATTACCCTTTGGATTTCATAGTCTGTTACTCGATTAATCAAGGGCTCCGTGCCCACGTCCCGATGGAGAGGCTCCCTGCTATGGAATAACGAAGTCCACCAGGGCCATCAGACTGCGTGATGAATGCAGGGCAGGTGAGGGCAGGGAGTGTGGCCAGGTGGATGGACGCGTGTGGCAGAGAGGCCAGAAGGAGCCATGCCCTGATCTCAGATGCCTCATTCAGAGTGAGAACGTGGCAGCCCCAGGTGGCCTGCATGGCTGCAGGCAGTACAGACGAGATCTAGGATACCTGTCCAGAAGCCCAGTGCCCGCCAGAGCGTGGGAGGGGCTGTGGGGCCGTCGAGAGCTTGGCCTGGGGCAGACAGCCCTCCCCGTGCCAGACACGTGTGGCCCAGCAGTGAGTGCCACAGCCCCTGCTTGTGAAGCAGAATCCATACCCTCTGCGTGGCCTCATGACGGCTGCAGAGCCTTTTCATGAGCTCCTGCCTGCGTTCTGCAGCCCGAACCCTCAGTGCTTCCTGTGGCCCCATGGGGTCCAGCACTATCTTTGCAGCGCCTCAAGAGGTGGCTGTGTGCCCAGCACGCCCAGGAGCTGGCAGGTGATGGGCTCAGGGCCGCAGGTCAGGAAGGGCATGTGGGTGGAGGCAGTCCGGCAGGCCACTTTCCCTGGAAGGAAGTTTCCCCGCCCCTTCCCCTGTGCGGGGAAGAGAACCTTCCTGCTCCCGCCCTGGCCTCAGCCCTGCCAGGGAGCCACCGGTTGCCTGGCCCGGCCTGTCCTGGTGACCATCACGGGAAGTGCCTCAGGCCCCATGCTTCAGCCCAAGCAGGAGGGCTCCTGTCCCTGTCACACCGGGGTGACAGGCTCCAGGGCCTGGGGTCTCCCACCACTCCCTTAGCCAGCACGGCTCCCGTCCCACCCAGGACATCCCCAGGCCCTGGAAGGGCTCCCGGGGGTACCCCCAGGAAGCTCCTGGCTTCGGAGGCTGGTGTTTGAGGAGAGCCAGCCTCGCTAATTAGTGGGGGGAGAGCTGAGCTTTAATTACTGGGAAGGCACCTTGGGGAAGGACTCATGGTAATTGCTGTGCAGCCTCCTGATGGCTTTGCACTTGGCACAGCTCACTTCTCCTGCGCAGCCGTGAACCATGGCGGGAGTGACAGGCGGGACTAGGGGCCTCTGCCCTGAACGGTCCTGTTAGAGCATTGCAGGGGTGGGCGGGGGCCCAGGGGTCTGTGTACACGCAGTGGCCTCGTCTCTGGTGGTGGGGAAGCCCCGGGACCATGACCAGGACTCTCCAGGTGCCTTGCCCGCTCACCTGTGTGGGTGGGCATCTGGCCCCCAGCGAGTGCATGCCCAGGACTGCCCATGAGGGCCCAGCCCCACACCTCCTCGCTCCCGCTGAGAGGGCTTCTGTGTTGCTCGTTGTCCTTCAGAAAAGGTACCAGGCCAGGGGTCGAATCCAGGGCTGAGAGCCAGGAAGAGCCCTGCTTTTCAGAGTCACCACTGCCTTCACATTTTTTTATGTTTAATTGAATGACTTCACACCCTGAGTTTGGGTCATTCATGTGCTTGTCCCCTTCATTCCCTAAATACGTGCATGCACCAGGGCCCTGCCCCTGGAGGGACCCCATCTCCACACCCCTCCGTCGGTGACTCTGACCCTAGGACCCGCCGCCGCCCCACGTCCTGTCCTGCTCCAGGTTTGCAGGCTCACCCTGTCTGCTCTCACCCCCAGAGCTGAGGAAGCAGGTGGAGAGCGCCGAGCTGAGAAACCAGAGGCTGAAGGAAGTCTTTCACACAAAGATCCAGGAGTTCCGGAAAGTGTGCTATGCGCTCACAGGCTACCAGATAGACGTCACCACGGAGAGCCAATACCGGCTGACGTCCATGTATGCCGAGCACAAGGCCGACTGCCTCATCTTCAAGGTAGGGCCTGCGGTGACACACCACCCACGCGGAGAGGGCGTCCGCCCGGAGTCCCCAGGGCACGACCAGTGGCACAGGAGCCGCCTGCCCGCAGATGGCACCGCCCACTGGGTCGGGGGGGTCTGCGGAGGGCGAGGATCCAGGGAGTTGGCCCCAGGACTAGACCGTTCCCGAGGCCATCGTGCCACGTGGCAGGCGGGACAGGGGACGGAACCTGCCAGAAACCTGTGGAACGTGCCCTCGAGTCTGGCTGGGATGCCAGGGCCAGAACCCCGGACAGATGAGAGGGCAGGAACTCGGCGGCCTGTGTTGGCCCCAGATCCCCAGAGATGCCGGGCGGGGCAGGGGCTCCTCTCTGGGGGCCTTGGAGTCGCAGGCACGTGTGGCCTGTGGAGCATGTCCGTGTCCGGGACTGGGGTGGTGTCCACGTTTCGGGAGCGGACAGTCACTGGGAAAGTGTACCTGTGCGTGAGGGGGCAGGGGGTCCCCGTCGTGACCAGGACTGGCCCGGCCACTGCCGCGCTGCCTTCACCTCCCTTTCCACAAAGACGGCGCTGTGGGCCCAGCATGGCTACAGGTGGCCAGGGTCAGCAGAGAGGCCCCCGTGAAGGATGGCCACAGTGTGGAGTGTGCCGTCCACCTATCTCTGCCTGCATTTGTAAAAACTAAGAACCCACTCTTCTGTTTCTGTAAAAAAAAAAAAAAAAAAAACTGTAACCTGTGCAACCATGTGATCTACATGGTTTGAGCAGAACGCGACAGTAAACAGGGTCCTGTCTGTCTCACTTCATCTTGAACCTCACGGCAAACCCTTGACCCCCTGGCGAGGGTACCAGCCAAGCCCAGAGGGGCCGGGTCACAGGGAGGCTGAGGGAAGAGGGGTCCCAGCCTCGCCTCCCCTGCTGCAGGGCCATGTTGCAGGTTTGCAGGGGCCCCCCATCGACCTCGCTTCCATCCCCTTTCCTTCCTGGCTGCCTCTCCTCGTCTTGAAGTCAGTGCTGCGTCTCGGCCTGACGTCTGCCTTCCGACACCCCCCGGCCATCTTGGGTCATGCAAGTGTCTGTTTTTACTTTTTTTTTTTAATTTAATGTTTTTTATTTGTTTCTGAGAGAGAGAGAGACAGCGTGAGCAGGGGAGGGTCAGAGAGAGAGGGAGACACAGAATCCGAAGCAGGCTCCAGGCTCTGAGCTGTCAGCACAGAGCCCGACAGGGGGCTCAAAACCACAAACTGTAAGATTGTGACCTGAGCGGAAGTCGGACGCTTAACCGACTGAGCCACCCAGTTGCCCTTGCTTTTACATTTGTAAGTAAGCTCTCAGAACCTTCACTCTTGTGTATTTCCACATTCTTCCAAAGAACTCAGCCCCTGATGAACGCTTCATGCGTTGTGGGAATCCCACGCGGTTTTCTTTAAGGTCAAGTACGTAAGCAGAGATGTTCAGGTCTTACAAACCCTCACTCTAGACAGGACAGCCACCACAGAGTGGACACTGGCAGAAGGCTCCGCCGTCCCACCATCCCCTCCTCCCTCCGGACCCTCCGCCATCCGCCCCCACCCCGGACCCTCCACCGCCCTCCCCCCCCAACCCTCCACCATCCCCCCACGACCCTCCAACCCCCCATGACCCTCCGACCCCCCACACCTTCCATTGCCCCCCCCCCGGGAACCTCTGCCCTCCCCCACCCCAGACCCTCCACCAGATCCTCCGACCCCCCACACACACTGGACCCTCCACTGCTGCCCCACCCCCCACTGGAACCTCCGCCCTCCTCCACCCTGGACTCATCGCCCTGCCCAGACCTTTTACCACTCTCCCTAGACCCTCCACCACTCCACAACCCTAGACCCTCTCTGCTCCCCCTCAGATCCTCAGCCACCCCCCATGCCCTCTGCTTTCTCTCCCCACCTTCAGCTCTCCCCATGCCCGAGGTCTCACTGTGCTCCACAGGCTCCCCCCACCACGCCCCATAAGTATATCCATGCCCTCAGCTCACCGCAGCTCAGCCGTGGGGGTTGCTGCCTCCCTCCTGAGGGTCTGGCATACCCACAGTTCTGACCGGTGCCCAGCCCACCTGCAGGCCTGGCTCCGGACATAAGGGATGCTGTGCTGGGAGCAGCACGAGTGCGAGGCAGCCCCCAAGGGATGGCAGGAGGGCTGGCAGCTCAGCCCCCAACTCACGTCCAACAAGGCCTGGATGCCCATGACAGGCACCCCTGCCCGCACCGTCCCAGCTCGGCCTCCAGCCCCACCCCCAGGTAGCGGGGAGTCGTGTGCACAGTGTCAGGGGACATGGGTGTGTTCATGGCCCCACCATGTTCTAGATGCGCGACATTGAACAGGGTGGGCTCTCTGGCCACATTGCCGGGGGAAACGTGGAGCAACCTCACCAGCGTGAGATGCAGAGCACAGTGCTGACCGGTCCTCAGAGGCCATGCTGGAAGCCGTCTGGAAAGTACCCCGTAGACAGGCCGACCGCCCCTTGCCCAGGTTGCCAAACTTGGAGCCACACACCACTGTTCCCCAGCTGGGGACTTCTCTGAGCGTTGGTCTTGTATGTGAGTCGGGTGTCAGAAGTGAGAGAGCTTGTGACCATGACCCCATCATAGTATAGGACACAGGGGCACTGGCAGCATCCCTGAGGTCCCAGCCTGGGTTTCAGGGTTGGTCAGCAGTGAGCCCCTAACAGACAGAAGCTATCATCAAGGCCCCTGTTAGCCCCACGGGACCCCATCTCTGCCGCCTTCTGTGGTCCTGTCACCCTGCTCACCAGCACTAGGGCCCCGCCCCTGGCCAGTGTCCCACCCCCAACAGGGCCCCAGTCTGTTCACAGATGGCTCCTCCAGGAGGGTTTCCTAGGAGGTGGGCCTGCCTTCCACTAACACCATTCAAGACACCTGTCATTTTCCATTGCTTGATGAACACATAGGTGATTTTCATTCCTTTACACAGCTCTTCCATGGGGAAAGGAACCATCCTCCGTCGGGGTCCCCAGAGCGCCTGCCCCACCCTTACCCCTGGGAGACCTTGAGTGCAGTGTGGGTATGGACAAGCCAGGAGCCCCCCCCCCCGACCCAGGCCCCCCACCCCAGATCCTGGCACGCGGTCTCTTCAGTCTGACCTCAGTGCTAGAGAGTAGGCCACTTCCTGCCCAGGGGCCAGGACACCCCAGCACGTGCACAGCCCTTGGCCAGGACCTGGTACAGCAGGCACTCAGCAGTGCTGTTTGAGCGCATGGAGCCTTTCCAGGGGCTTTGGCACATCCTGCAAGTTCGGGCTCCTGCCCCTCTGCCCGGCCTGCAAGGCCGCTCCTGGAGCATCGGGCTTCAGGGAGGACCCCAGGAGGCAGGAGCTGTTTCTTTCGTTTGTCCCTGGAGATCTGGGCACTGGCTCCACCGAATGGGCCCAGCGAGTCCTGCATTCCTGTCCAGCCTCACTGGCCTCTCCAAACAGCCAAGGAGGCAGAACAGGGCTTGTCCCTGCCATCTAGGCAAGGGCGCCGCCCCTGTACTCTGCCCCCATGAACCTCCCAATCCCCTGGCATCCCTGTGACAAGACAAGGGCCACCACAGGCAGGTCAGCTGCGGTGGCTGCTGGACAGAGCAAGAGAGCCAGGACCTGGGGCTCAGGGCTCTTTTCAGAGAGTGCTCATGCCCTGGGGCCTCAGGATTTGGGTGTTGGGAGGTCAGAGGGAGGAAGAAGGGAGCCTGGCTCTGCCTCCATGGGCATGGGGGGCTAGACTATCCGGGAACCAGAGGCTAGAGGCACGCGTGTGCACATGTGAGCAGCACATACACAAGCCTGCCCCTGCCCAGACCTCCAGTGGGGCGTGCCGGGAGTGCCCTCTCTCCTCGGGCCTCTCATGGGCCCCTGCTGGTCAGGGGCCTGCCCAGCACCTGGCACACCCACCGTGGTCCCGGCCTCCCGCCTCCTTATTGCTGGGTCCCTGTGCTCAAGTGCTGGCCAGCCTCCCCTGGAAACCCGGCTTTTCCGGGGACACTGGCCATTCCCTTGCTGTCTTCAGTCCCATCACCCCCTCGGTGCTGGTACCGCCTGGGCATGAACCAGTGGGTAGGGTTTCTCCTTTCTTCTCCTGGCTCTTTAGGAAGGACTGGGAGCCATTGTGGGGTGAAGTGGAGGGGTCTGCAGCCAGCTCAAGCCCCAGGCTCATGCTTCTCACCCTCAACTACCTCTCTTCCTTCAGGATGGGGCTGTGAGGCCCCAGCATCCCGGTGGGGGCCCCGGTCTGGCCACCTCCACCTGGGGCCCAGCCCGGAGCCCTTCGTAGGTACCCCCGAGAGTCCTTGCCCTCAGTCCTGCAGGTCAGGCCACCACACCCCGGCCAGCTGGTGCTCCCGGGCTCCCTGACGTCGCAGTGAGGGCCCCACCCCCACCCCCAACATCCCCCACTGCTCACACAGCCACAAGCCCCTGCTGCTCAGGGCCTGTGCCCACCCTGTGGGGCCTTCTGGGATCTCACAGGCCACCCAGTGGGAGGGGCTTGGTGAGGGGTGCGTCCTCGTGGCTGGCTCAGCCCTCTGCCCACAGACCCGTCCCCACCCTCCCGAGGTGCCGGCCCTGTGCCAGCTGCCATGTCTCTGCCATGTCTCTGGCGTGACCTGTGCTTGCACTCTGCGGTGGCCCTGTCCTCCCTCCACACCTCCACCAGCAGAAAGTGCTGGGCTGCATGGAGCAGAGCTCCCCAGAGCGTGGCAGTGTCCGCAGACTGTCTGGACGAGGGCGTGCATTCACTTGCCCGGCCCAAGGCCTCCTGGACACTGGAAATGCTGAGCCTCTGGGCTTCCCCGGGATAAGTGCTGTCAGTCCCTCAGGGGCCCCAAAGAAGGCACGTCCGGAGCTGCCAAGCCTGTGAGGACGTCTCTAACCAGGGGCTGGAAGTGACAGCTAGTGACACACCTGCCACCTTTGCCTGGTTACTACTGACAGGAGGCCCCGTCCCAACCTCTCTGCTGCTCATGTGACTACTCTGCCCAGCGCGTG